CGGTAGAGAGTTCCAGTCGGTTGTTGTAGAGGGGGAAAAAAAGAAGTTTTAAATACATCCGTCCTACAGTTCTACTCTCTCACTTTTTTTGAGTGATCTCTTCTTCCTGATGTGAAGTGGGGAGGCAGCATGTAGTTAGCTTTATTTATGCCGAGGTAATTATGAAATATGCTATGATACAACTTTAAGCGCATACACTTCCTTCTGTGGGCCAATGAGACTAAATGCAATTCTCTTTTTAGCTGACTAATACTCGATCTAAAATTGTAATTACTTGCTATAAACCTAGCTGCTCTATTTTGTACCTTCTCCTGTTGGTTCACAAGGTATGCCTGGCTGGGGTCCCAAGAAACACTTGCGTATTCTAAGATAGGTCTGATATATGTAATATATAATGTGCTTTTAATGTTCATAGGGCACTCTCTGAAGTTTCTTTTAATAAAGTTAAGCATCCGAGTTGCTTTTTGCGGTTATGTAGTCCACGTGTTTTGTCCAGGTAAGGTTTGCTGAAAAATATACACCAAGGTATTTTACATCTGATACTGTCGGCGAAGAGTTTCCGCTGATGTCATATGTAAATAAGATAGGCTTGCGCTTGCGCGTAAAACGTACGTGATTACATTTATTTATGTTTAACTTCATGCCCCATGTGTCGCACCAGGCTGAGATACGGCGGATATCATCTTGTAGTGCCCAACTGTCGGCAATTTTCCGAACTTCAGAATAGACTACACAGTCATCCGCATAGAGCCTTATCTTTGATTTCAGTGACTGGGTAATATCATTGATAAAAATCAAAAATAAAAGCGGTCCCAATACCGACCCTTGTGGGACTCCGGATGTAACTGGTACCTGGGCTGAGTGCTTGCCTTTGATTAAAACTGATTGTTTTCTCTGGTGTAGATAGTCGGTCAGCCATGTGATAATGTTAGTCGGTAAGTTTAATGTTAAAAGTTTATGGATGATAAGGGCATGAGGCACTGTATCAAACGCTTTCTGAAAATCAAGAAATATGCAATCTACTTGAAGTCTGTTGTCAAATGAATATGCAAGATCGTGATAAAACTCAATCAGCTGCGTTTCACAAAAAAATCCCTTTCTAAAGCCGTGTTGCGAGGGAGTGAGATAGCTATTTTTACTTAGATGACTGTAAACATTGCTGTAGATTATATGTTCCATTAGTTTAGAACAGGTGCACAGAAGAGAAATGGGTCTGTAATTTTGAAGAACATTTTTTGGTCCATCCTTATGGATCGGAACAACGTTTGCCGTTTTCCACTCGCTCTGGAGTTTTCCACTGGAAAGCGACTTTTTGAAAAGGATTTCTAAATATGATGAGATGATGCCGGAACATTCAGTTAGAACACGATTGGGTGTACCACCGGGACCGCCTGCTTTGTCTGTTTTTAGTCCATTTACCATTTTTAAGATACCGGTGTAAGAAATTTCAATTTCATCCATTCTGTTTAGGGAGATATCATAAGAGAGCGGATACTCATTAGAAACTGCGGGCGAAAATACCGATACCATTTTTGTAGGAGCGAATCTTGTTTCTTTTTCCTTTCCAGCTTTTCATTAGCGCATTTATTGTTAATTAGTTATTTATTTATTTATTTTTACGAGTGACACAGTTATTTATGTCGAAAAGACATAGCTTTGAACTTCCGAACCTCTAAGCATGTGACGAGTAGTGCCTTCTGACAACCAGTTTCCGACAGTGACCATCTACGTGATATTTTCTGAATAGTCGTTCGTTGATAAACGTTGCTGGTCCTCCAGCAGCTAACAAAGGGCTTATTTACAGATTTTACAATCTGAAGGAGCATTCTTCGTCACAACACGTCATCCTCGTTGAGGGGCCCGGGGCCCAGGATCTCTCCACGGCTCCGTCTGGTGGCTCCATCTTGCGAGGGATTCGGGAAGCCGACCTTGCGCCGATTCCTGCTCCTCTCACGGGGGAGCGATGCGATCCGCCGTGCAATATGCAACATATTTTATGCAGTGAAGGGCGATAGTAGCTATACATATGCATAAACAATTGCAGGTTAAAATAAACAATATCTGGAGAGGGGAAAGGGCTAAAGCCCCCCACCCCCTGTTTCTCCTCTTCTGACGCCACTAGTATGGTAGAACCAAGTCACAGCATTTGGTAGAACACTTCTCGACCTCGAGTTCTGTCGGCTTCTGTGCTAGCTCACCCGTTTCCGGCATGAGCGGCGTCGGAGTCACCGTCGGCGTAACCGCGCGGTGCCTTATGGGAAACGTCCCATAATGCATCGTGCGGGAGAGAGGAAAAGGAGGAGGAGGGCGAGGAGGAGAGGATAAGGGGAGAAGTAGATGAGGAGGGAGGAAAAGGGGAATACCGTCCCCTCCGCTCCGTACCCTACCCTCCTTCTCCTCAAGAGCTGCGCTCTTATTCGGCATTACAAAAAGTTGCAAACGTCTTTCATTTTTTTTTTTGTTCGGCGTTTCCGCCCCGGAAATTAAAGGAGCGGTGCAACGATATTCAATTGGAATGTTTTTCACTTGACACGAGCTTACTGGCACACCTGGGACTCTAGGATACTCACACGCAACGCCACTGGTCAAGAAACTCCTTTGCTGCGGTGTAATTTCAAGGACAAAAGCGATCATTTTCATTCAATCTCTCCTTTGCAAAATTTGATGACGTAACGTGGGGATCGCAGTACACCCAAGTGACGATATTTGAATGCGGTTCATAGATTGGACCCGAGCATTGCGTGGGCACTCGACTTGGGCTCGTGATAATTGCTAGCTCGAGAAGCATTCGAGTAGTAACCCGTGTCCAATCGCTGCAACGACGACAACAGCCGAGCCATAACAATGTCTGGAACTCAGCGCGTGTCCTGCGCTTTGCCAACACCAGCGCGTGGCTATGATCAACAACGGCGGCATATAATCGGCTCCAGATCACGTGGCCGATTGTTCTGGCTGCGAGTTGAGGGGGTGAACACTGCTTGTTTTTCTTTAATTTTTTTTTTTGGGGGGCTTCTATTGCGTGGGGTGAAAATCGAACACGTGTTTCATAGGTCATTAAAGTTAGGGATCCGTTTTAAGCGGTATTTGCGCAAAGTACAAAAATTGTTGCATCGCTCCTTTAATCCTTCAGAGCAATGACAAACTCAACTTACTATATGTCAGCGTCACCCGGGCGGCGTTCAATCGGATTACTGCCAGCGTGCAAGAGGGTGGAAAGGTATGTTTGCCAGATCGCTTCAAGGTTTTTTCAACCACCTGCCCGCCCCTGGCCGTTTCGAACTGGATGAGTATCATAAAACAGTGCGTTCGTGTGATCACTACTGCGTAATGCACGTTAAAGACCCCCTTCCCCCCCCCCCCCCCCCCCCCTAATCTTCCCCCGCCTCCCCCCAAGTGGCGTCGGTCAAGTGACGTCGGACACCTCATGAGCTGCGGCACCATAACCACTGTTGTTGCTTTGCTGTTTTTTTTTTGTTTTGTTTTGTTTTGACTATCTATACTTACCCAAATTGTTTTTCAACTCCTCCTTTCCCCTCACCCACGGTGTATGCAACGACCGGCAAGCAGGCGCACAAGCGTAAGGGTTGTTACCGTTCTGTCTAGCCTCGCACGTCGTCGCCGTCGCTTGTGCAAATAAATTACAATTACACTTACAATTACTGATCTATGGTCACACATCACTCTGCACTGGCAAATATTGTAGCACATTCGGGACACTTGTCGTCTCATTTAATTGCCTGACCAACTTCTCGCTGTCTCACACCCGAAGTTTTTAAACCTGATTTCGTGAAAACCAGTGAGTCGTGAAAACGTTATTTGAAACTGTACTTAAAGGGATACTTCAACGAAATTTGAAATATTCCCGTCGTGTTCAAAAATAGGTTGAATATGGTCCACAATATCCGTAAATGACAATCGCACGTTTGTATTTTGATCTTGGTGGCTGTATTTTTCGTTATAAACGGCCCACTCTGGCAAGCGCTCGGAGAAGGCCCAGATTAGAGCACGTGACATCCAACGCAATCGTGACGTAGGTCGTTTCAAGACGAGCAAAGCTACGGCGAGGCTGACGTCGAGAGGATGGCCTAGTCGTTCCAGCCACCGAACCGGCTGCTTTTGTACGAATTTTGAGTGACGGGTTAAACTTCTGTAATCTTCTAGGGGGACAATAGCGACTTCTGCGACACACAAATGGGATTCCCGGGAAGAGGGGAGTTCCTCCTTCCCCCCTTCTCTCGTCGTGGCCGGAGACGAGACAACCTCCGTCACTAGCTGTCAAAGTTCCTAGACGAGCATTATAAACGAGGCGTTAGCGACATCCACCAGGTGCTCTTTGCTAATCGTTTAATTCGTTTTAAAATTCCTTTTCGAGAATTTTTTAACAAGATATTGGTATGTTCCATGTGATACTGCTCTTTTGAACACATATAGACCAAAAAATGAGCGCCGAAATTTCGTTGTAGTACCCCTTTAAAAGAAATTCGAAGCTTCAAAGCTTTCTTTCGAATTTAGTTCTAAAAAAGAACCGAAACCTTCGACCTTTTAGAACTTCATGTAAAAATAAATTCCAAAAAGTTCAAATTTTTCGACCTTCATGTCTATAAAAATTTGAAACTTTTAAACTTCAGATCCAAAGAAATTAAAAAATTTCGAATCTCTCGAATTTCCAGTTAGGAAATTTTCGCAATCGAACCCTCTTCGATATCGAACTCCACCGTGTGCGAAAATTGCGAACTTTTCGATTTCGAACCTCGGTACGGATCGAAATCTTCCGATTTCGACGCTCAGTTCGGGTCGAAAATATCGAAACCTTCGAGTTCGAACCTAAGGTGATTCGCGGCATCCCTATTCGGATAAGACTGGCTAAAATAAAATAAAAAATCCGTTATGATGAGCTTGGCTAGGTGGCGCAATACACTGTCTAATTCGAACAATTTTATTGTACTTACTTATCCATACAAAGAATCAAGCTTCCTGGCTTCCAACTGGCTTCCAGGCAACTCTCCATTCATCCATCCAACAACATGGCGCTTAAGCGTCGGAGCGACGCTGCGTCACCGTCGAGAACCAGGTAAAAACCTTGGTAAACGCCTTTTAGCGGAAGTGGCAAGCTCACTTTTCTGCCATGTTCAGCAAACTCTACAACTTCGTGCGCCAGCACAAAAAGAAAATTTTCTTCAGCGTCGGCTTGGCCGGCGGCGCCTACCTCCTCAACCGCTACGTCCAGCGCAAGCTTCACGAGTGGGAAAGCCGGACGACGCAGAACTACCTGGACCAGATCAAACACCAGCACCACTTCGAGAGCATCCTGCAGACCTCGGACAGCACGGTGCTCTCGCTCCTGCCCAAGATAAGAGAGCCGTTGCTGACCATCCTCGAGACCGACTCTTTACTGGAGAAGCTCAAGACCCGACCCCCAAACAGGCTCGAGCTATGGGAGGAAATGAAAGCTCGGATCCTCACGTTCGCCGTGTGCAGCGTCTATGCCGAGAGCCTGCTGGCCGCGCTGCTACGGGTGCAGCTGGGAGTCGTCGGTGGTTACGTGTATGTCAACTCGCAGCGCTCTCAGCAGACCTCGGGCGGTGTCCTGCCCGCCCTAACCAGCCAAGAGATCCACCAGCGTTACCTGTCTCTCATCCAGCATTTCTTCGAAGGCGGCATCGAGGAGCTGGTCCACGTCGTCAAGGCAGCCGTGGTGGCCGCCTTCGGGCACGTCAGCCTAAAAGAGCGCGTGAGCGTTAACGACTTCGTCGTGGCTTTCGACTACATCAAGGGGTACGTGTCGAGGGGCTCCAAGCCGCTGCCCGGCTTCATGCGCTTCCTGCTGCCGCCTCTGAACGTCGAGAGCGATAGTCAGGAAGCGACGGTCCTCAACACGATGATCCTGGAGACGAGGGACATCCTTGAGACGGACGACTTCTCCAAGGTACTCGCGACCTGCATCGACATCGGCTTTGGCAACCTGCGTGGCGAAGTCGAGGAGAGCTTCCACATCATGCAGATGGCCGAGGGCAGTGGCGACCAGGTGGCGACTAGCTTCGCGCTGGCCAAGCTTCTTCCAGTGCTTAAGAATGGTCTGGTGGCAGGGCGGGCCGACAACTTCCTCAAGCAGATCCTGCAGGTGGAGCTGTTGCGCAGCATGTTGGCAAATGTGTACGAAGCATTCTGTCAGACTGAGGACGTTGACAGGCTCAACCACAACCTCGCACCTTTCACGTGATGCCTTGTGAAAGTGTGGAAGGCATAGAGCTTCGGACAAAAAGGCTCAGTCCTTCGTGTGTGAGCAGCTCTGATGTGGTTCTCTTATGAGAAGTGTCGTTGGGTGCACAGTGCTTGTTTCGAGATATGCCTAAACATGCTCCATATAAGCATTATTTGATTTGTGTTTCATTTGTATTTGACCAGTGCTTTTGGAAAGCAGTGTTTCCTCACTCCCCTATATTTCAGTGTTACCAGGTTGGAGTGATGGTTAACAGTGTTTCATGCAGCATATGAACACAGATTAGTCTGATATTTGTTGCAAAGGCTAGTGTGTCTCATGGTTAAAGACGAGGGCTCTTAGAATGGTTGAGCCACATGAACCAATGCAAAAGAAGTCTGTCGGAGGAAGGCGTTTCTACCAAAAGCGATGGCACAAGGATGGCCCAACAAAGCTGCCTTGTAACAAATATTTTGTGCCTTTTGTTGAGCTTTATTGTGCTGTCGAGTTTAAATAATGGGTTCTGCTTATCTGATGTTGGTATTGCAATAGTGTTCCAGTGGTGCTCAGTGGGTAATTTTTATCAGAGCTACCCTTTTCTGAAACTTTAACTATTCTCAATATTCTGTGATGGCCACTAGAAATTTCTTTTTTTTTCTTTTTTGCTCAGCTATCATTTACCTTTGCGAGATCCCCCGAGTTCATTTTCAGGCCTCGAAACAAAAGTGAGGAAGACATTTGTAGACATTTTCCAGTCATTACATCCTTGCAGCTATGGGGATGGAATGGAATTTATGTGACTCAACTAGAGAACCGGTACAAGAAAATGTAATGTGAGTGTTGCAAACATGTTTATGGCAGGTTTCACTTTGGATGTCGTTTTGTTCCCTATGGCCGATGGTAACCAAGCCGAATCTGAGAACTGTCCATTAGTTCTCACTGGACATACATGTGGCTCTTGTGCCTATAGCAGACAATTTTTTTTCAAACTTTGTGCTGAAGAGGCTCCCTTCTTGCTGATAAACACCCAAAGGAAAGGAAAAATGTTCTGGCCCTGTGAACGATTTTGTCGGTCAGCTCTACAAAAAAAAAAAAAAACTGCAAAAAGGAAAAAAAAAAAAAAAAAAAGAAACAGCACCTTGCCAGCAACCAAGATTATATGGCTCGTCGTATTGGAGCCCCGGTTACAGTCGTCAGTGTAAAGACTATCAATGAATCTTTAAGAGTCACTTGGTTTATTTTTAAGTTCTTATGACCAAAGTTATGACTGCAAGTGTGCTTTTTGTCAAGAAAAATACCCTTATCTTCCTGTGTCTTGATCTGCATCTGTAACTTGCAAAATATTTGAGCCCGATATGGCCACACCCTGCCCGCTCCCTAGAAAGCCGCATACCACATGATGGTGTTGTGAAAGAAATCCCTTTACTCACCCTGTTTTGAGACAAGTTTTCCCAAACTCCAGCAACGTGCTGTTCTGTTCCTTTGCCAGCCGAACCTGTCTTGATCCCTCCATTTTCTCACGCTCTCCCCTCCTGAATTTTCTTAATCTTCTCATCGTCTCTACACACTAATATGTAATTCTAAAACAATAATCTGAGTTTGGCAAAACGTTCCAGGCACAAATATGCATTTTCATTCTGCACTTCAATTGTTTGTTGTGGTTTTTCCGATTGCATTTTAAAGTAGAAATGAAAATCATGTGCTGCTGCATAAATCTTAAGTCTGTCCCTTTGCAGTAGTAAACTGCATTGCCTTGAAAGTTTACACATGTACTGTAGTTCAGACATATAGGCTGGAAGGTACAGCACCTGCACTTTCTGGACTTCAAGGCGCATGTATTCGTATTCCTGCAATTCTAAGCTCTTGAAATTTTGTTTAACTTGGACAAAAATGAGGGAAAGCTAGATTTTGCTGGAGAGGAAAGCTTTTTCTTTATTCAGATGTTTCTTGCAATGCCAAAGGGCATTGTACAAGGGTAGATTATCTGATTATTATTTTTCAGCAAATATTACATCTTAGTAATTGAACAGTTAAGATAACGGATGACACTCTTTTCCTAGTGACAAGAGAGTTGCAAGGAATGGGGCCATGATTGGGAATGCTGTAACAACCATGTCGTATGTTGCCTACTCTGGCCAATGAGAAGTCCAATAATTTGTGTGCAAGAACATGAATGTGCAGTGCTTCAATAGAAAATAAGAGGTTTTTTTTGGTCTAGTTGTCAACTCACTGCAACTTTCTTCGTCGAGATTTATGGTAATGTTTTCTTCATTTTATTACGAAACTCTCTTAGTACCGTTTGCAGCAGCAAATGACAAAAAATTGGCCACATTCACAAGAAGCCATATTCACAGCTGACTTTTTGGAATTTGTCATTGTAGAATATGTTAGCATAAAAGAAATGGTGCTTGGACCAGAATGGCGTGACAAGTAACTTGAATGTCTATTTTTTACTTTTATTGTTTGCATTTGCGTGCAGCTGAAGAACAGCTTTAAATCCAGAAAATTTATGGTTCACAAGTGAAACACCTTTTCTGTGATGGTTTTAAAGTAGGCAATTTCATAGTTGTGCCATGCATGTAGCAATATATTCTGAAGCTTCCAGCGCTGAAGAGGGTTTATTTGAATGGCAGCTTTCAGTCGTGACATTTTTTCTTGTTTCTGCAATATAAGTGTGCTCTTCGTGTTTGTCAGGGTGCAAATGGTTGGCTGAATAGGCAAGGAACTAAGCACGAGACACCTTTTTATGGATGTGATGGAGAACCATAGTTAAGAATGCATGGAATGGGCATATGTAACATGGTGTTGGTCAGAATGCATAGCCACCGGTGTTTGGGTTTGCTGAACAGTGTGCATGTATAATATATTATATTCCCATCCTCATCTTCAGCCATTGAGATGAAGTAAACATGTGGAACTTGTACAATCTGAATAGTATTTAATTCTTTCATACCCCTACTGACCAAAAGTGTTGGAAACAAATCTGCAGCACCTCGTTTCATAAAACGAAGCGTTAGCTATGGGGGTTACCTAATAATTTCCAGTTTGTTTCTTATGACATGTCACCAGTCTTGGGTAAGTTACTGAAGCTTTTTTTTTCTTTTTTTAACACTTTGGTTGGGACACACATGTCAAAAAGTAATTTTACGTGAAAAAATGTTTTGAGAGCGATATTGAAAGCGTGAGTTGCGATTTACTTGGCAGTCACTTCCTTTCCACTTGTTTTCTCTCAGCATTTTCAGCGCGTAGAGGAGAGGTGGTTCAGCTTCGCCTTCACGTTGAGGTGGAAAGAGCAAATGCCCGAGATGGTCACTCCAAAATGACCCGTGGGGTCATGGACTTTGCGTGCACAATTTCAAATAACCTCGCTGCCAATATTGCTAAAAAAAACAATTTTCTTTTCCTTATAATTTATTTTTTGACAGTTTAAAAAAAAGGTTTTTTCTCTTCATGGGCCCTTTAAAAAGTATTTAGTTACAGTTACAGATTGTTTGTGAAAAATATATTTAAGTTAGTTACTTCGACATTGTAACTTAGTTACTTCCAAGATACTTTCGTCTTTTGAATTTAACTATGAAGACATTGATGACACTACGATTTATATTTATTTGGAACTCTCATTTCACTTTTCAAGATATATATTATTACCGTCGCACGACTTTGCTGAATCAAAACGTTTGCTGCTTTGATACAAGATAGACCAAATAACAAACTACTTAGTTCTTGTAACGTAGAAGCAACTGTTTTTCAAAGTTATTATCACTTAACTTTGCATTTTATATGCACATTCCTTTCTTTGCTAAAAAACGCTCAACAAGTGCACTGAAAAAAACAAAAGAAACCTTTTTTAAAGGTGGGAAAGTTGAGACCGGAGAGAGCTGTCGAGGTTTCAGCCTGTCATTGTTCGTCTCCATGCCCAGCGGTAGTGTCCAGAATCGAAAGTTGAAACTCGCCCCTAGGTGCTTGCGAAGGTTGGGGAAAGAGGACCTCCCGGCTGCGTATGCTTTTTTTTAGCGTTTGCAGCGAGCAGTGAAGTTATCGCCACTACATTCACCAGGGTCGAAGTTCGTAGCCAAGCCACGGTAACACCTGCTGTTCGTCCCTTATGACAGCCTCTCATTTGAGCAATAACGGTTAATTACCGTCCAACTATTTTTCTTCTTTCTCTCCCTTAAAGGGGCCCTGCAAGGCCTTTTTTACTGGTTTTTAATTTGCACCCAACTTGAGCGCACCGAACAGTTTTGCTTTATTTTAAAAGTTATAGGCCATTTAAAATTACAAAAACAAGCAAAAAATAACCTCCTTCATGACGTCCTTAGTCATTCGAGTGGCCGTGAACTAGAGGAGGGGTAGTGAGCTCAGCGAGCGCTCACGGCTGCAGCACTCCGTGTCGAAAGCTTGAGAGGGCGCCACTAAAGCACATTCTGGATAGGCTGTATGAACCGGGCAGCAAGGGCGGCTCGCATTGCATTTGCTGCGCAATTATACACTAATTTCGGCATGACACTTTGCTGGCTACAAACGACAGCAAACAAGGGGTAAAAATCAGTTCAGAAGAGGAACCACTTCGCGCTGCCATACCGCCAAATCTGCTCGCCGAAGGCCTTCGGAACGCTCAGAACCGGTCAGATCCTCCAGTCCATGTGACCGCAGCACCGCCGCATACATCCGGGACCTTTCTACGGCCGCTCGTCGGTGCCTGATCCCACTACACCTTTCTAGTATGCGCCGCCTTTTCCACTGCTTTTCCACTGTCGACGGGTCATTTCTTGTTTTTGTACATTAGTTTCTTTTCTGATCTAAAATACTGAACAAAAACTACTTTTATAAATAATTGAAACGGTTCGCGCCACTTATATTTAGTATTTTGACTAAAATGAAGCTTCTAGTGGCACTGACCAGTAGTAAGCCCAAGACCAAAGACTTCACATATCGCGCGCTTTCGGCACCGCAGGTCGCCCCCGTAGGTGGAAAAGGTCTCTGCGTCGTCCGGTTAAAATGTGACGCACTGATATTTAGTCACTCTCTCTGTGCCCGTTGACTTGCCCGACTCCCAAGAGACGTAAAAACCGCAAAAAAAGTAGACGCTTAAATATGATTGCAGGGCCCTTTTAAGAGATTTTTTATTTTTTCTTAGCTGATAGGAGAGAGAGAGATATTAATGAATAAACAGGTCCATTATGATTATTAGAAGGCTAAACCATTTGGAACTGAAAAGAGTGGAAAAGTCCAATAGTATCAAAGTGCAGAAAGGAGTGAACAAAAACAACACAAAGTCGTCTTAAAATGTGTTCCGCTTTTCGTTTTAATTTCTTCTATGCAGCGCAGAACAGAACTCAACCGTAGATCACGGATTTGCCGGTCCTGGGATAGGGCAAGTCGACCAGTAGAAACATTGTCTGTGGCCCCGGTCAACAGCGTCTGCTGGCGACGACTCGCTTTTGCAAAGAAAGCTATTGCCGCGACTGCTGCGGCACCCGTTGGCAGCACCAACGACAGAGGCTCTTCTGCGGCGTCAAACAGTTCACCCATAGGTGTCCACACGTCACGTGTTTCCACGGGGTGGCTCTGTCGCTTGGGTGAAGAGGCGGGGGAGTTCTATGAGGCCGGAAAGGGTGAAAACAAGAGCCACACACAAAAAGGTTGAAATAAAGCAAATGCTAAATGCTATTTTCTGAGAGTTTCTATTTTCTAGAAGTTAGTGTACTCTTAGTGACATTGTCTATTTTTGGTTCATCAGAGAATTGGCCTCCGTAACAAGTGTGCTTTTCAAGCTTTTCAATGAAAAAATGCTTACTATATTTGGGGAACACAGATAGTACACCTCACATCCCCAGCAGAATGCATTCTTTGCATTTTACTCTGGTTTTGCCATAGCATCGATTGCAGTTTCTTTATATTTAGTGTTTTTGTCCACCTTGCTGGGAACATAAAACGTGCACACCGGCCCAGGACTGACAACCATCTGTTAAGTGACGCCTATAACATAATTTAAAGTGTCCCCAGAGCTCTTGAGGTCTAACAAATATGCCACACTACCGTTGAATTAAGTAAATAATGCCATCTTTGTTACGAAGACTGATGCAAGCAGTTAGCAATGTTAGACAAGTGCAACCACCATTCCCAGGACTATATTTGACAGCCCATTGGCTTGTGATAAAGCTCAAACCTATGTTGAAACCAAAACTACAGTTCTTCGACTATCCATGGAATTGTGGAACATAACTCTCCGCACTAAACTTAATTTCTTGATGGCACTTGGAAACCATCGGTCACCGATGATCGAAGTCCTATGGGCGTGGTCAGGAAAGAGTTAACATAATCTTCGGTGTCCTAGTCATGATGAAATTTAACATTTCTCACTCGTAAAGTTCTTTACAGAAAGGGAAGCACCAAAAAACTGTAACGAATACATGACTGTTTTTGGTGCGTTTTCATACCCACACTTCCAGGTACAGTGCTCAACGAAACAAAATGGACCAGATGGCAGAGCCATGTGGTTACTCTAGGCTAGTGTAACCGGATGTGCTAGCTGTACACATTACAGTAACTGCATACGCTTCTCAAGCAAATCATATGCAGTTACTCTAGCGAGGCCATGCGCTGCACTGGTTCATTTTGTTTCGTTGAGCCTTGCACAATATCGGAACAAATAGTGGGGGAGCTTTAAAAATGACCTGTAGTCCAGACATCTCATCAGAGCTTCCGACCAGGGCACGTGTGACCTCGTGGAGAGTGCAATTGCAGGGAGTTGTCACATTAAAGTGTCCCTCCTCTCTCATAAACTGTGAATTCTAGAGGCCACAATCATGAATAATTATTTACCAAAAGCTACGTACTTGAGTCCATTAGTGGCTGCTTACAAAAGTCAAAAACGTGAACGGACTAGACAGTTGCAGAAATACAATTTAAATTTGGTTAAGCAAGCTGGAATACTCCTCTCCATGGAGTGACAGAGGAGATGCAGGTTCATCGCTAGGACCACAAACAAGCACTAGTCCACTTACACAACCTCGGAGCACTGTAGCGCCACTCAAACTGCTTTCTCCATGAAATGCATGCGCATTCCATCGATACAGGAACCAGCCACACGGTGTATCCGCAGCGAGAAGAGCTTACATGGGCAATTCAGCGCTCGTTTGGCGGACACGAATCTGCGTGTTATTTTTCTTATTTTAGGTACACAGGTGAGATTAGTAGGTCTGGGCAGCAGATGAAAACAAGCGAAAATGACACACTTCGTGCTTTTGAGCTAGGTACTACTGCAAACAATATGAGCGGGAACACCAGAATCTGTGGTCTTCGATACGTGCTGAGCTACCTTGAGGCTGATAAAATTGCGGAGTGGAGAAGGGGCTCAAATACTTTACTAGGGGAATACAAGGCGCTCTCTTCATTTGCATTAGAACGACGGCCGCGCCATAAACCACCCCTGGTAGAGTGGTTTATTTGGCGACGCCTCTCTCTCCTACCACCTCCTCTCGCCACCAGAGCACGTGAAGACAATGACTTGGAATGTGGTGCGGTTGATGGGCTTGTGGATGCAAAGACGGTACCACTGCCACCGTTCCGTGCATTTCTGCAGACCTTCGTTGCCGACTTGTTCTATGTATTCTCGAGGTGTGTCCTGCATTCCCCTAGTAAAATATTTGTGCTTACTCCAATGCACACACCCTCGCAGCCCATCCCCTCTCCTCTCCACTACCATGTTTTACCAGCCTCGAGGTAGCGCAGCATGTGTCGAAGACCACGTGCTTTGGTGTTCCTGTTCGTACTGTTCCCAATAGCCCAAGCTTTTGAGCAGTAAACCAAAATCTTTGGGAGAATGTTTACCTGTTGGCATAATACTTGATGAAAAATACAGAATGCTTTTTACAGCGGGAGCCCTTAGTGGCCCGTCCCCCGGTTTCGCAACGGCGTGAG